TTTAGGTGTAAGGTTGTAAGGTATCATCTGCTAAAAAAAAAGATATCAACAGAAAACGCGAGGCGCATTTCAGAGTTTGCCGGTCTGCCCCAATCTATCTCCGCCTGTTTTTTTGCCCCTCCCGCCCCGCATAACACAACACTTTGTTCACATTTTATTTGGTTTTTTGGCGTTTTCACAGGCCCCGCGATGCTGCCCGCGATAGCCGACTCCGTCGGCTTCCTTCTAGTCTTTGGCGGCCTCCTCGGCCACCTCGCCGCGGCCGCGGGCGTGCCCGCCGGCGCCACCCCTAGCCCGGCGCTGAACCACAGCGCGTACAGGTTGGTGTTGTTGGTGCTATCATTGCGTGACAGGTTGTCTTTTTTGAATGTGTAATTCACGACATGTTTATTAAAGACGACACGAAAAAGAAAAGTGTGCAACTGGCACGCACATTGCAGTGTGTTCGACACTCTCAGGTGTTGGACTCGAAATTCGAATATTTACAAACGGGGTTCAGCAGTAGAGTAAACAATTTTAAGTGTCTAAAGATCCATGGACAATCCTGAAGTTGGACACTTCTAGAACGGTATCATTATTTGATGGAAAAGGGAAGCTTTGAGAAAGTCTGTGACTTTGAGGGACCTTTCTTGAAAAGTAAGGATGACCCTCAAAGTAGGTAACACATTTTGAGAAAGTCCCTCAAAGTTAGCGTGGCTAATTTACATGTGCAAGCACGTATGCAAGCACGTAAACCATTTATTTAAAAAGTCAGTTTCGTTAATCGCATACGCATCAAACTTTGCAGGGCGAGTTCCACAGCTCTAAAACTAAGAGAAACACATTTAATCTGACCAACTGACAATTTGATCAGTTGTCACAAAGCTCTAAAGTACTGAGGTGGGCGCAGCAGCTCGTCAGGTTAACTGCACCAACTTTGAGGGACTTCCTCAAAATTTGTGATGTACTTGGAGCGAGACTTTGAGGGTTATACTATCTTCTCAAGTTTTTCCTTTCTTCTCAAAAAGAGATGTCGTTTTTCCCGTGTTTGATTTTTCAACTTTACGTTTTAAAATTCAAGTATCCTGTCAAACCCTCAAAAGTTTGAGTATTATTGTTGTGCACGCCTGACGCCATCCCGCTCTCTGCACAGATACGACGGCTTACATCGGAGATCACCGGCAACACAGCTGAGGCCTGCCGTCCTGGTTGCGTCCCAGTCAACAACAACAGCAGGCAAGTTTAGCAGTCCCGTCAGGTCACCAAACGTTAGCACTTCCGGGCGCCCGAAAGTCATGGCGACCAGGACAACAACAGCGTCGCCAACTCTGGAGGGAGCAGAGGAATCACTCACCTCCGCCTGCGCCTGCGCCTGCAGGCCCCAGCCCAGCGGCCGGCGGCCAGCTGTCGGTGTCACGTTTTGCACCGCACACTTTATTCAATTACTCAGCCCGGACCGGCGGATTTCCTTTTCCTGGGCAAAGCGCCGGCCTTTGAAAAGCAGCTGGCGCTTTGAGTACCGCGATACGAGCGCTTTCCAACGAGAGAAGAGGACCTGCCCCGGCGCGGGGGTGGTGGGGGTGGGG